CCCAAACCCCCAAAACCCCAAAACCCCAAAACCCCTGACCAGCATCTAAAAATTTATCTGTATTTATTATATTCTAAAAATATAACAATTATTCAAGATGAGTGACTACGATGACGACTTTGGTAAGAGACCTGATCGTGATTCTAGATGATTTTGTTGAATCCAAGGATAGTAAACCTCCTGGCCAGAACACAAAGAATATTTTGGGAAAGCAAGGTAGAGATGAAGTTAAAGAAAAAGGCCTTTCAAGAGTCTCACAAGGTAGTATTCAGAAGTCAGACAGCGATGCTTCTTTACCAGAAGCCAAGGGATTGAGCAAGAATATTGATAAGACCAGTTTTGGAGTGAATAATGTGACAGCTAAAGCCTCAGACTCTTCTGCATCTTCAAAAACTAATAATTTTGGTAAACTTAGTAATAAGTCAAACCTGAAAAGCTCAGTGATTAATAAATTTAATGTAGCTTCTAAAAAGCCAGCTGATAAAAGTGATGGTAACTTTCAGCTTTAACTTTCATAATCCTTCTAGATGATGAATATGGTGATAATGATGACTTCCATGAAGAGAGTAATGATCAAGATTCTCAAAAGAGGTTTGTAAGCTCAAAGCCAAAGAAAAGTGTTAAATTCCCTCATACTAAAACAACTCCTAGAAACAAATTTAAGGCAGGAAGTAGAGGTACTAGTCCTAGGCTCAAGCCTGAGCTTAGTCTTGGGAAATATCAAGCTAACTCAGATACTTTGAGAGGGGCTAGATCCAAAAGAGCTTACCGAAGCTTAAAGAAATCTTTGAATAATACTTTATACTCAAAGCATCCTAACATTAGCTCCTTGAGGACTATCGAAAAGCCCAGGATTAAGCTGAACCCAATGGTTGAGGTCCAAAATGACATTTACAATTGTAAGAAGCACTTAAAATAAAGTCCATAACCTTCGTGAAATGTCTTCTGCACAAGAGGATGAGCATGCCCAGCTTCTTTATTTGGCTAAGGAAAACAAGGTCTTGCAACAAGAATTCAGAGATCTCAATCTGAGCTTGAACAAATTTATCGAGATGATGAAGGACTTCAAATACAAGAATAATAGCCGATATCGAAAAATAAATCAGTCGATGAGAGCTAGGCCGAAAGCGGTCAAAATTGAAACGAAACTGGGAGAGAAACAATCTTACGAACTCATGATTGAAAATATGAGGAGAGAGCATAAAAGGCTCCGAGATAGACTAGATGTTGTTGGTGACCCAAGCTACAGCCTCTCTCTTCGTAAATAAGATCATTGATACGAAAGACCATATCCAGACACTTGAAGAGAGCGAGAGGAAACAGCTTAATGATAAGTTCTTGAAGAACAAAGATGCTGAGAGAATCATCAGCAATGGCCAGAGTGATGCGATGCGGGCAACTCAGGATGGAGCCAAAGAGCTCACATATCTGACAGATCACCTCCAGAAGATAGAGAAATAAGCTTGCAAAGCAGGAAGAAACTAAAGCAGATGCAGATGAAAAATCTGCATCTGCTTCCCAGAAGCTGAAAGAGCTTGAGCAAGCAGCTGCTGATAAAGGTCTAGACCTTGTAGAAGTTTATGATGATTTTGAGAAAGAGCCTGAGATCGACCTGAGTATGGACCCACTGACTTATGAGAGAAAGAAATTAGTTCTCCAACAGTCGATACAGACTACTAAATATAAGTACCAAGGGAAGTTGAGTGCTCTGAAGGAGAAGTATGAGAGCATCCTGAAGACTCGGAATGATTGAATAAATGCTATTAGACTTCGCCATAACCAAACTACAGAAGCTAGAGAGAAAGTTAAGGACTTGATGATTAAGTCTAAAGTTATGTCTGAAGACCTCCTAGATGAAGAAGCTAGCCAAGATGAGACACTAGAAGATCTTCCTGAAGAATACATTATCGAAGAAAATCCATTAATTCAGAAGCTATCTGTTGCTTTAAAGGGATACAAAAAGAAGAGGGTTAGTCAGTTTACTCAATCTGCTGTTAGTGGCAGGAAGAGCTCCAGAATATCTTCTAGGGCTGGAAGAAAGAAAGTTGTTAATAATATATCCATCCAAAAGAAAGCCAACATGCCTGGATTGGAAAATAAGATGGTCAGCAGTTCCAAAAATCAATATGATATTGCAAAACAAAGAAGAGGGGATGATGAACGATCACTACTAAACTCTTCTGAGAAAAAGCCCTTATTCAAAGATAAGATTAGAGCAAAGCCGTTTTAATCGGCTTGAGAGTTTCGAGGTGCACTAGATATTACTTTGACCAAGATTTAGAGTATTTGAGTATCAATAAAAACAAAATCTCTAGGGGTTTTGGGGTTTTGGGGTTTTGGGGTTTTGGGG